ATATTTCCCTTCAGAAATTGAAAAGAACTTTGAAATAATTTGTCACTTTAATTCCACTGCCTATAAATTAGAAACCATAAGTACTGGTAACCTCTTTATTTAGCACGCAGTCAAGTGAGTCCCAGCTTGGTTCGAATTTTTCACGAATGTACGCAGATTTAAAATGCTGGAACACATAAAGACAACCATAGGCTTCTACGCTTGCAAGAAGCTGCCTTCCTTGGTAGAAGAAATGCCATCACCCACTTCTGTACTTCAACAGCTTCTTTCTGCTTCCATTTATCGCCTCTGCATTTCCAGCCCCGCTATTGCTGCCTGGCTCCGCGAACGAACACTAGACTGTGGATTTCTAACCCAACAGTATCCTTCGGAGATACATCCAATTGCCACGTTCAGAGGAATGGTCTCCCACAGGATTTGTGATTCACCCCTGTCTACCTATATGATATCCCAGAAAACTAATCTCCAGGATGACAGCTCATTCAGCACGCCGGAAAATTTACCCATGCTGAGCTCCTCTTTAAATAATGACCTGACATTTGTTCTGTAGAGGGAGACAAAGCCCAGACTGATGAAAACAGTTGGCAGCTGCTTTCATTTGTGCCATTCAGAAGCCAGATGATAATTTGTCCTCGGGGACCCATCACTTCTTGGCAGACAGACCTGTCCAGTGCACTTTGCTATTACTTTTGCTGTTACCTCCCACCCTGGGTGCATGCAGCGCACACACAGAGTCAATATTCAAGGCAGACTAAACTCAAACTGACTGCCAAGAGTCATAAAGGATTTCATGATGCTGAGAACTGGGAGGTCTGATCACAGACAAATTTGGTGATGACAAATACAAAGTAGGAGATATCGGGAGAGACAAATCTGTTAGACCTACATAAAAGGTTAAATTAGCTATTGCTCAGAAAAGAGATCCCAGCATCTCTGAACACGGCTTAATGAAGACATTAGCTAAGCAATAAGTGATGGCCAAAAAGGCAGGGTGTTACGAATTACTAGGCAAGCAGACCAAACCAGAAGGCATTATTCCAGATGAATTGTGAGTTCACCTTTAAATTAGCTGGAGCAGAATTACAGAACGTACAGACAAGGGTGACCAGGATAATCAGACTATCTTCCATACAGGGAGAGATTAAATAAATGAGGACTTCCCAGCCTGGAAAAAGAGGTTACTAGGGGCTGATAATAATGATGGTACATAAAATCATAAATGGGATCAAGGAGGAGAGCAGATGTGATTATTCATTATTTCTCACAGTACGAAACTAGGAGACATAAAACGAAGCGTTCACATAGCAGATGACATGAAATAATCACATAAGAAAGAAAGTATTTTTCCACACAGTCTGTAATTAAACTGTAGCATTCCCTGTCGAAGGATGTCGTGGAGGGTAACAGTTCAGGGTGGTTCAAAGAGATGTTTATCTTGGACAACAAAGTTACAAACCACTTCCCAATACTTGGAAACACTATGTAAACAGCTAGGGCTGTCCACACGTTACCTGCAGAAGAGCAGTAGCAACGATGACAACAGAGACGACGATACGCATTTGTTATCCACACACGTGGCCCCACCACATCTTACATCCCTATAGGTGCAGAGCCTGTGCTCAGACACGGCCACCACGAGGGGATGAGATATGTGCTGTTTTCGTACTATGATTCTTGTTCCATCTATTCCTGGCAGTTTTTATTTTTAAGGATCCCCCACATTGTTGCTAGTATGTTGGAAGCTTCCTGTTCTACTCAGCAACAGAGGCAGCCCTAACTGCGCTCTGGAGAGACATGCACGCAGAGAGCTGGGGGAAGACAAGCTGAAGCAGGTTTCCCCCTTTAAGGGTAAAAAAGCAAAAGCCCTTACGCGCGGCAAATGTTCCAGCAATTATCTTCCAAGTGCGTTATCTACTCTTCCACCTAAGCTACAGTTGAACGTGTCTAATTATTATCGACATCAGCAAGGTCAGGCATCAGTACAGGCAGCCGCGCTGTTGTCTCACCACCTCTCCCTTTAAAACATGTGCTCTAGTACATGATCGCTCCTGCTGTCTTGGAATGCTCTCCAGCCACTCTCAGTCAGGGTGCTTAGTGAGGGAAAGGGAGCAGTGGTTCAGCCGTGGAAGTTACCACGCAACAGAAATGCAAGCGGTGACACCGTGCAGAGGCTGAATGGAAACTGTACATGAAGCAGCGCCGAGTTCTCAAATGCATTTTTTTCCCTGGCTATAGCCCGGGCTGCAGAAACACAATGTCGGTTTATGTCTGAATCAAATCTCACTTTAGTCACGCTACTGTCACTGCCCTTTGAAGCTGTTTTAATTCAGGATGCCTGCACAGGCCTTCCTTCTTTCACATAAATATCCACTGTTGAGTTTTGCTGAAAAAAATGCAGGGAAGATGAAATTCACTCCTCAGCCCAGAGCCAGGCGTCCTTCCTTTGCCACCTGTGCCCACGCAGATGAAACCCTGGGGGCAGACGACCACAAGATCAATATAGAAGCTGCTGTGGTCTCCAGCTTCCTCCCCGGGTGTGCTGTGGTGAGCTGGGCAGGGCCACAGGGAAGCCCTGGCAGCGGCGGCAGAGGGGCAGCCAGGGCTGCCCTGCGGCTCAGAGCTGCACCCAGCTGGCGTGAACCCCCTCAGCCCGAGCCCTGCAGCTCTCCCACCGTGGTACAGGAAAGCAGGGATGCTGTGGAGGGGCCACAAATCTGGTTCCCACACGTGAAGGTGAAGAAAGGGAGAAGCTTGGTCTCACAGCCACAGACAAGCTGGTACAGAGCAGGAATCGGTGTGCAGCAAAGCACGGCAGAGTTTCCTTCCCCCCGCTGAAGAGGCAGGGAGGGAGCAGAGTATGAACCAGACCTGGTTCAGTTCCTGCTTTCCTTACGAGGCTGTGCAAGCCCAGCCTGTGGCTCAGGCTACCCTGCAGTCTTGCTTTCGAGCCCCATATGACTCCCTTCCCTTACCGGCTACAGCCTTTGAACGACCACTAGTCAACATTGACCAGTAAGCAAGAAGACCGTCTCCACATAAGGTGCCCCACACATCGCTAAGACATTACAGACGTCACAGAATGTGAAGCAGCTCACCAAGAACGCATTAGTACAGAAATAATAAGGCTGATATATATTTGCCTTTCCATCGTATTTAATATATTTGTATTTAATACGCTTATATTCACCCATCCCTTCTCCTTACGATGAAGTATTTGCTCTGAATATAGCCACCACCTCAGCTGAAAAGCAGAGAGACGTGACCGTGTTTGCTCATTTGGTTTGGCCCTCTGTGCCTCAGCAGCGCCATGGCTCAAAGGCTGGGACAGCCGGCTCCCGCATGAGTGGCCCTTGTCCCAGGAGACCACGGAGCCCGGTTTGGGCATCTTCCCAGCCGGCTGCCTGTATTCCCCACTCAAACCCCAAAGACAGCAGAACAAGAAAAGCCCATCCAAAATAGAGAGGAAGAGGGGATGTGTGGTATCTTTAGCTGGTCTTTTGACAAAAACGTCATTTCAATGCACTTTTTCCCAAATATAGAGCCCGGTGATTGGTGGTAAGAAGATGGAACCGAAAATTAAAACTGTAAAATAGGACCAGTGCTGTGCTTTGGTAGTGTCCAGTACTCACCCCAGCACAGCCAGGAAGGAAACAGTTTGAAAACACCAGATGCTCTTTGCAACTGGTATTTTGGATGTATTTCCAGCAGGGATTTCTTCCCTCCCCATGAAAACAGACACACATTCTCATTTAACAACTAATTGATTTATTTAACAATACAAATTTCTTTCTACTGCATGGTTTAGCAGAGAGAACTTGAGAAACAAAATTAGCTTCTTTTCTTTTTTTAAAGTTTAATTGTTTACACAAAAACAACCTTTACTTCAGTAAATATAAAATTTACACACAAAAAAACTACATTAAAAAAGAACAGAATCATGACAAACCAACAAAAAAAAAAAAAAAAAGGATGGGAATTCAGTGTAAAGGATCCAATTGCAAGGAAGGCAAGATGGGGCAACACTAACAAGGCATCCCACTTGTACACCTAGGTATCTGAAATCGTAGGTACAATACAAAACCAAAATACATTAAAATTAGGATTAAAACCTGTATTTGTATACCATAATATTTTATGATATAAATATCTGTAAATTCTGTAGGCAACACAGTTAACGTGTGAAATACATCGTTTGCTCTTCACTGGGAAGTCACGGGAGTGGTGTACGAGCACCGTCTCACCCACGAGCGTGCCAATGGCCAGCAGCGAGCAGACTTTAGACGTCCAGCCCGGATGTGATAGCCCCTTGTCTCTTTGCCAATCTGTGCTATTTCTCACACGTCCAATGACATAATGAGAAACTCTGGTCACCTTCAGCAGTGATTTCCAGCACTTCATCTCCTGGCATTAGCCTGTTACCTGACTTAGGCATATTCACCTGCCAGATCCCCTGTTTCTCATTCCCTTTTGCACTTCATAACCTGAACTCTAAAGCTATCTTGTAGCTACCAAGAGAGACTGGCTTCTAGGTGGAGATGTTTGGGATACACAGTTCTTCAAGCCACCTTCAGGAATCTGTAGAAATATTTAAAGTAGGGTGGACAATTCATGGTCAAAGGTTATGTGATACAAAAAACAGGGACCTATATAGTGATGGCTAACTTTAGATCTAAATCTTTAACATTTTTTCTATTGCTTTAATATTTAAACTTAACATTCAGTTTTCATATATTAAATGAGCAGAGCATCTTATTGATGGAAGTGCTACATTATATCCAAAACCACCAGGTAGAGTAAGGGGGACTGTAAAGTTTAAAATTAAGTGTAATTTTAAAAATCATTTAAAGGGATCAAGTCTCTTTTTTTATAATCAATATTGTGACTGGCAACCTATAAAAGCTTAAATTATAAAACTATTAGTGACTCTACTTTTTAAACTGTATGTACTATAAAGCTGTATATCTCTGTTACTTACAGATGTTACAAAATTTCCAAGCCAGAAAGCGAAGGGGGGGGAAACATAGTCTAAAAGTTTTACAGATTTCACTTTCACTAACAAAGGTTCATTTCCCCCACAACTGTTTTTATGTCATAAAAATCTGATTAAATTTATTCTACCACTTTCTTTTCTGGACAGATGAGAGAGTGTTCAATCATGCTTTGGAAGACCATTTTCAATGGGTAACTGTAGTTCTCTAGATGAGCAAGTCCGACTTGCTTTACTCAGAAACAAAAGCACCAGACTATCTCTATCTTGGCCCTCGTCCTGCAAAAAAAATTTGTGGCAGGACTTGGGCGGTCTGTTACGAGTGCAGGACTGGCCCTGAAGCAACCAGCTACATTAACTTCTGGAGCAAGCATACGCAATGCTCTCATTGCAACTCGAGAAAGAGCCGAACAGTATTAAATTTAAGGAAATTGTAGAAATGACATTTGTTCTGTAAAAAACAAAACAGGGAAAACTTAAGCAATCCACAGGTGTGCATTAAACATTTAACAGCAAGCCTTTGCTTATGTATATTAATTTAAAGATTATCCACAGGGATCTGTGATACATTGGCCCTGCCTTGTTACTATAATTAAATTTATTCAAATATTAATTTAAAATAGGAAAACAAAGAAACTACTCCTTGGGGAACATGTTTATTGTGTTTGAGATGATACACTGGGTGCTCTCTGAGCTACAAAGGGAAAAAGGAAATCCTTTCATTACAAACTGACAAAGGTAAAAGTTAAAACAGTTTTCACAACAGCATGTACCACATATTGGAAATAGATCTGGGTTTAATACAAATGACATAATTCCTAGTAATCTACAGCTACCTTTAATAACTTCATACAGATAATGAATTAGGCTAAAATGCACTATAATATTTGGTTGACTTCAGGAACAGTATCCTTAGTACATCACAAAATACATTTTGATATCCCAAAGAAGCAAGACTTGCAAGTAGGCATTTTAAACATAACTAATCTACAGCTACAAATTTCTACTCTTGATAGCATTTACCTTTTTGGGGGGCAGTATCCCAGTCTTCAAAAGGATAAAAGCAGAGTAGAATCAGTATAACATATACACAGAAGTCCGTATTGTAAAGGCTATAAAGATTTGTTGCACACTGCAAAGCTGCCTTCTGCACCTTCACACTGCACAAGTAGTTTGTCATTTATGTTGCATATCTCTTGGTCCACTGTCTGGCTATCCTGTCATGTTCTGCTCTGTTGGTCAGGTACTGAGTGGCTATGCTTCCAACCAGAGGGTCAGCTGCAAAAGGCAGGAGAAGATGCGTTAGAAACCACTCCATAACTAAAAAAAAAAACCCCAAAGAAAAACCCCAAACCCCCACATGATTTAAAAGACAGAATCTATTCCAAAATACAGTCTTTGTTAGGCCAGAAAATGCTGTGAGATACGGTGGGACTCTTAACGTACAAGACATTTCCAAGAGAAAACACACAAGGTGCAATGAACAGAAAAAGAAAACAGAAAAATCCGCTGTGGTTATCTGCATATTAACAAATCTTGCCCCAGCCAGGTGCCCTGCTTTCACCCCTTTGGAAGGGCCGATGGGTGCAGGGGACATTCAGCGAGCACAGCCTGGCACACTCCTGTCACAGTGCTGGGACAAGATGTTAGGGTGCCAGGACTACAGACACACACCAAGGGGATCCAGTTTGCTTCAGGAGTCATCGAACTTTTGTATCAAAGAGGCTAATCCATTTCTCCCTGATCATTACCAGTCTTCTGCAAACGAACTGTCATCTTAGCACTACTGCTCAGGTCCTGCCCTGGCCGCAGGCAATTAGCAGTCATCACCTAATGACACTGGTCATGCAACTGATGCTGAGAAACTGTACTGCTTCCAAGTGGAGTTCCTCCCCTCCCAACAGGAACAAGGAACCCCCTCTGAAAAAGGGAAAAATCTCTCTGAACATCGCCCCCCTCACATTTGCGAGATTAAACGTTTCACTTGCTGTCTTAAGGGAAAGGACTTCCCGTGGCCCCTTCCATCCTGCAGGATTTATGCGTTTATAACTCAAGAGAACTTTGTTGCTTTCCTGGATCGACCACTCAGTGTAGCTCCCGCGACACAGATCTTCAGTGACGTCAGCTTATCTTCTCCGCCATACCTTGGGGAGAAAAGGCCTTAATGCTATTTATTTTCTGTTGTGCCACAGGAGTGAAAAGTGACATTAAATGCGGGACCACATCGAAGCAGGAGCGTTCCATCCCCACTTTTAGGAATATTAATTTTTATTTAATCTGCGTACAATCAAATATGCAAATTACATTCCATGGCAAATAAGTCAAAGTACTAAGAGTGGGCGCTCAGTAAACTATCCAGCTGCTTACCCGGGTTGCAGTCTGTCAGAAGAGAACAAATAGACAGCAGAACCTTTGAAATAGTCAAAGCAGGGCTCCAGTTGTCTTTTAGGATATCCAGACAGATGACTCCCTGACTGTTGATGTTGCAGTGATAAATTCTGGTACGGAAAGTAACCTAGAATCACAGCACGAGAGAGGGAGAGAGGGAGTCATTCAGTGCTGCCCAGAGATGCTGCCCCTTGCCTCTGAGCAGCAGCAGCAGCACCTGGGGCTCTCCCAGTTCTGCAGAGCTTCTCTGGAGGCAGCCCCTCACTGCTCGTTTTCTAAAACACCGCTATTCAACAGAAGAAAGCGTATTTACTGTAGTCCTAGCTACCTTTAAGAAACCTACCATGGAGATCTTTGGTGCACAAACGGCTTTCACACAGGCCCTCTGTCTGGTACCCACAAAAATTGGGACCTACTTTGTAGTAATGTACACTATTTAATGAACATACTGCATGTCATGAACTATCTAATCACAAACATAACTTTACTGTGGTTTCTGAAGATGAAGAAGTAGACAGAATTTGGCTGCATGTGCAGTATTAGTTGATCTTTTCCTTTCTTTCAAAAGCCTAAATATAGACCATGAAAATTAATATTTAAAATTGGAGCACTGTATTATTCTTGTTCAAATTAGCAATGAAATCTTTGCCTTACCCTTCATTAGGCAGGACATAATACACATCCAAAACAAAGCTATCACACTAACACCATCCTTGTTTTTAAATTATTTCAGACTAATATCAGTAGAGCATGTAAGCATTATTCCACACAAATAAGAAGTTAGAAATATTTAAATGCTTTAATTACATAAAGCAAAAGATGATGAGGAAAATTTTCATACAGACACAGGGGGGCAAATACCCGTGATGTTTTCTGAAACTACTGAAAATTCAAAAATGATCATGCTCTTAAAAAAAAATTCATAAGATTTTCATGAGGCGCTTGTCTAAAACTCTGTATCACCTCATTGTAACAATCCTAACTCAGAGAATATTAAATTTTGTGGGTTTCAGAGAAGTGTGTGAAATACATAGAGGGCATATTATTCTTTACGCTGTAATCCTTCTGGGAATGAAAACAGGTATCTGATTCATAATAACAGAGCTGTAGCCACAAGAGCCGTAGGTTGTAGAAACGTTGTGTGGTAGAATTCCAGCAGTGTCCTTTCTGGTGACTTAGTCAAGAGCTGGAATTTGGCATTAAGGGAGGAGAGAAGGGAATAACCTTTAACTTCGTGGATATCTGTTTGTAAATGATGATTTCTTAAGTGTTCATACTATTTCTGAGCAAAGAAACAAAATTTTAGTTTAAGCTAGGATTACTTTAATAAAAAAGAGCTTTTACTTAAAAATATTGTCAAACAAGGTTGCTGATCTTGCCAGCAGTAAATAGATCGACACTTTACACTAATGGAAATCATCAGTGATCCACCCAATTTGAAGTCACGATATAACACTCTAGCTGTCTTTCTAACCTTATTTTAGCTTCCTGTTACTTTACTAAAAATTACATGAAAATATATAATGTAGAATCTGGTTCACAACAGAAAGAAGTTGATTACACATATATTTTGGTAGCTGGAATGTGAAGATGGAAGCCCAAGAAGGTCTTGCGCTGTCTTCTATTAAAACCAAACTTTCTTGAATCTTAACTCTTGATCAGAATTATCATCTCATTTATCGCTTGGTAAAGCTCGGAAATCAGTATTGACTGTAGTAATCAGGAAATAAATTAGACACGGGATTTTTCTGAAATTGCAAGCCAAGATTTTGGACTTTGTCGTTTTCAAGAGACCATAAACAAATTTGATATTCAGAAAGCGATGAGCACTCACTCGCTGCAAGTTGCATTCTCCTCACACGTGAAAAAATTATAAACACAATAAAAACCTTACCCTTACCTTTGGTGGCTTGAATGGATAGTCAGATGAAAATGTGATATCCAGGAAAAAAACGCCTCCTTCGTATACAGAGCCTGGAGGTCCAAGTATAGTAGATCTCCATTCATAAATGTTATCCCCTTTAGGACCGGCACTGTGTAAAAAAAGAGGAGAGAGAAAGAAAGAGTCAGGTGTACCTTTGAGAGAGGCATTTCAAGGATTTCCTTCTACATTCGTTTTGTTGAATACAAACCACTTGGCTATCTTTAACATCCGCCTAATTTCCAGGTGATTTCAGTGGGCTCGGTGTTTTAAACAGGCACAAAAGCTGGGCACTCCCCCAACCCTTTGGAGGTACAGCAATGAAACAGATTGATCACGAACTACTGGACTGTCACTGTCTGAAACATACCCCCCTCCCCAGTTCTGCTTTCTCGAGTACGTGGTTGCTCTGAGCTGCTTCATCATGCCCTCCCAATAACATCATATCCACACAAAAGGAGTTGTATATCTTGACCACATTCATCTTCTCCAGGCATTAAATGGATCACACCGTCATAAAAAATGTGACTTACACGTATATTGATACACATTTATTGCCACTTGTTTCACAGGCTAGAGTGAAATGTACACCTTTGGGTGGGACAACGGGCGATGGGAGAGACAGCATCAAGTAACCTGGAACTGAGCTTCTTACCGCACTGTTAACCCAAATAACTCTTTTCTTCAGGATACACTTGTGTTATGCCTCCAGGCAATCAGCATTGAGACTACTAGCCAAGAATAGTTTATTTTAAGAAGCACAATGCTGAACACACTTTTCACTAGGGGAAGGGTTATTGCATATTAATTATTGAAGTAAAGCTTTGAAAGAAGGGATAATGAAGAAGCATTTTCTTGACTTCTGAGACACCATACTTAAAGCTATTATCACACAGTAAATGTCTATCCTCCTCACAAAAAAAAAAAATCAACACTCAGCCTTATTTCTGTAAGGAAGTCTCAGGGTAAAAACTAACCTAACCTTCCACAGAAGGTCCAGAATCTAAACCGCTCAAATCCAGACTGGCTGCTAAGGAAAACACCACCGCTGAGCTCACGCAGGCAGGGTGGATTCATCACATCTTTGCAGACAAGTAAATAATGCGGCACTGGAAAAGATCCTTTCAGTTCTCCCCACCTCGGCAGTCTCCCAGGCACCATCTACATCTCGCGGATACACGGTGAAGCATCCCCATCCTTCTCCCTCTGTGGTCCCAAGGAGCAGGCACTGAGGACTGACATGTGTGATTGCACATGAAGCGACAGGGCATGGCACCAAGCTGTAGCCTGGGAGTTTGTGGTTTCTGGCATTGCTCGACACTCAGAGGAGCCTCCCTTATGAGCCCTCCGAGTGTTAAGGCTCTTCCCATGCCATGTCACCTCATGTGTTTGTCACACATATGTCTGCAGTCTGTAACATGGCATGTTGGACATTCACCCTTACTATGCAGCCAAACATGTGGAGACACTCATCAGAGACGAGGAATATGAACAGTCTGCACTATGCATCTGCAATTCCTGCACCAAAAATGTAGCTGTTTTTACATTAAGATCGTATTTGAGAAACAACCAAAAGCTGATTTTGATTACGAATTCTCTTTCAATTCAAAATTTCCCAAGATGTTTTTTATCTTGCGGACGTTTCATGTACCAAATGTTTAAACTGTTGCAGGCCTTTCGTTAACAGGACAAAATAATAATGGAATTTGGCTGACCTCCTTTTTAATTAAAAACAAAAAATTATTTGATGGAGCTGTCGCTATTTTCCTGTTGCCAAAATGAAAATAAGTAACAATGGCGTGCTGGCCTCCAGAGTACGGCTAAGAAAGAAAAACTAGAAGTTGTCTCAAAAGTTTGGATCTAAACTCACTGATCTTACTTTTCTATTTGCGATGCATGCACAAAAGTGGAAGAAAAACAGTAGGCAAATTTTAGAAAAAAAATGGTAAATCCAGAGGCAAGGACATCCATTTTCGATGATGTAACGAACCGTTTGTACCCTCAGTCACCCCAGAAGATAATACCATTCATGCTCTCTAAAAAGCAATTAGTGTAAGAACTGAAAATATTGGGGCAATAATGACAATATTTAAAACCCAGACAGGCCACTGAAGTGTTTTAATTAATTCTTGACATTCATCAAGCTTACAGCTAATTAGTATTGTGCTTGGAAACCAAATTTCTATGGAGCAATTAAATTTCAGCATTAGATGTCCTAATGACTGTTTTATAGTTTAAAGCAGAGGTTAGTGCTCTTGCCTCGTGTGTCAGGTACACCTTTCTTTCATACACCTCTAACAGCTGGATGCAATTCAATCAGATTAATGAAACAGCTGAATCAAATTAGTGACATATTTCAGCCCAATGAATCAGTCACAATTAAGTGCGGCACCAGTCCGGTGCCAAACTATCTGGTAATCGCTCCCCAAGTCAGAGCAAGGGCATCTATCAGCTAGCAGCCAGAAGCGAAGCGCAATAACTCCCTGCCTGTTACTATCTGCTACTCTCTTCTATGCTACCGCTAGCAATATATAAAAGGACTATAAAGGGCTATAACGTGAGAAGGGGAACTCCTAACCTTGTAAGAGGAAGAAAATGCTGTGTTGGAAACCCCTCCTACTGCTGAGAAAAGACTGCTGCAATGTCAAAAGTAACACGAAGCTGTAACAATAACTGCACTCAGATAAAAGAGAAAATTATTAAATCAAACAATTTCATTACACCTGATTGAAGTTCGTGAAATTTCTGTTTAACAGCTAAAGTGGTGTCTCACTTCCAGTGGTGTAAAAGATACCCCTGCTTCATTAGCAACCTGAAAATCCCTGCAATTACTGCATTATCGGTGTGAGGAGACACGAGATTGAAGAGCAGAGACAAGACACCACACTTGGCTTCTACCACCTGTGTATTTCCCCTGGGGATCATCCTCAGCCAGCCATATCCTACTTTGTCTTCTGTATACATACCAAGGTAATCTTTTTTGGAAGTAACCAAACCCACACTCTCCAAGGCTCAGCAAAACACACCAGATATGTTCATGGCAGTCCTTGCCTCCGCAGTGATTTCCACAAGGACAGGACAGCAGGGTTGCACCCACTGGGACGACTGCAGAGAAGAGCAGAAAGCGCAGTCCTGCCTCAGGCAACAGCTCAGTTGTGTACCCAGCTGCAAGCGAGTGCCGGAGCCCCGCTGGAGTCACCGCCTTCGACTTTCCATCACTGCAGAGCATCATCCCAGTGCCGCAGGAAGCCACAAGGTGGGAACTGCCACTCCTTGTTGCAAATCTAACTTCTCCATTCCCACAGAGGACATCAAAAACCCCAGACTGAAAACTGGGAATAAGGAACCTTTTTTCTTTCTGCAATTTTCTATTTCATTGTTACACCCAGAAGAAATACTCTCCTCCTTCTGTTGGGCACTAAAGAGGCTGGCGCAGGAGGTGCTTCTAGGGGCTGCACTTGAGCTCTTTATTCCCAGAAGTTCTCCTGCTATTCAAGAGACTCACTCTCCTATCCCAAGCATAGGCTTCAAGCACCTCACCTTAAACCCTGAGAGTTGTGGTGGGTGACAGCCCAGGAATCTCTCTCGCTGTCTGCCATGCTGGGCAGAATACTCCAGGCACAGCACTACAATGGGGAACTTCCACGGTTTTCTTCCCTCTCCTTTTTTCATCACTGAAAGACCCAGCTCCTTCTGACTTCCTCCCTGGAATCCATATGGGCACCACATCCTCCTCTATTCTGTCCTTTAAAACACAAAATCCTGATGGAGCAACGGATTCAATGACAACTTCAGTGCTTTGGCTACACAGCATATGTGTGCATTTCATTGCTACCAGCCTGCTGCCCTCCTAAATTAGCTACAGAACATCACAAATTCAGTAAAGGCACAACCAGTATATTCTCAGTAAAAGAAGCACTTGATTAATTTCTTAAAATATGGGCTAAAAAAATCTCAGACAAAATAACAAAGCATATTAATTGAAAAGACAAAATATTCTTTGCAAAATTAAGGGTTTTTTAGTTCATACATAGAAGCTGGATTGATTTTTTTTAAATAAATTAGATAAATTGACAGAATAAAGCTAACTGGCTACATCTGCTTCCTAAGTAAATATTCATTATGCCACTTCACTGAGGGATATATACCTGATCCAGATAAGACAAAGGATTTATAACCACGCTCTATCCAAGCTAGTCCACTGAATAGATTTAATTTCCAACTGTGACTTCAGATGGTGAATTTGAGAAGATGTGAGGTTAAACTCTGGGGGTCCATGGGGTCACACGAGGTCCTTTAAGCTGAACCCCAGCTCTCAGGTTTCACGAAGAGGAACAGCTTTTCCAGCACCGCGTTATGAGCATTCACACCAGCAACAGGCCTGTTAGAGTCCTGATGCAGTGGTTACAGAAATCAGAATTCAGCATTTGTTACAATTCACTAAATCAAAATGCATTAAAGCTGCCCATAGAAACTAGCTGCAGGATGAGAAACTAGGACAAGAGATTTCCAATCTACCTGATGCTAGTAGTGTGCTGCTTTCTGCACTTGGTAAATGCATTTCTCCTGTCAGCAGCACTCCTCTGAAACACGGGGCTCTAAATTTGGTGACAGAATGCAACTTCATAGTACTCAGACTGTGATAATTAAGAAGAAAAGGGTGAAGGAAAATGTGATTTAGCTAGATTTTATGTTAACTCTGTGTTATGCTTTATTATGAGAAACAATTTGGGTCTGTAATAGGATACAACTGAGAGGAAAAACAATAATCTCTTTTTTTAGGAAGCTTCCTGACAGTGAAGTCTGTCGGACTCTTAAAACAGTCTTACGAGAAATGTCATTGGTACCATAAAACTAAAGGTACTGGTCTATATCTCCAGACGCCCATCGAGGGTGCCTACATAGCACAGATTTAAGTGGTGGCATATTTTCCTACATTCTCCTTTCAAAGGCCCCACCCTTAGGTCTGATACCCAGGCAGGTATCACAAAGGCAGCAGCTAACAAATCAAATGGGGTTCCTGGAGTGAGAGTTAGGTAAGGGAGGAGCTCCCCTCCATCCTCCCCAAACTTTTATCTCAAGATGAGATTCAGCAAAAATAAAACTCTCGAA